CCTCGGGTTCCAAATAATTTTGGCATATTTTGGCAGCCATAATGCCAAAATAATTTGGGATTTGGGCGGCAGGTATACTATGCGCAGTAGTACGTCACCGTCATCTACAGTCGTAGGATCTATCAATATTTTTGTCTATACTGATGAACTTCTCCCAAAGTTCTGGTATGTTCTATTTCACCCATTTACACAGTACTGAATTACTAATAAAAAAATCACATCTCTGATTTTCATGTAGATCGTAAGACAGGGTGTCATTAAAAAGAAATTCAAAAATGGAAATAGAGTGATTAGAATATATGATTTACAGATCCTCAGATAAACGGTATATCCTACTGACGTTAGTGCATTCAAATTACGTGTATAGGTTAATTACGCATTAATCCATTTTTGAATAGGAATTAGCAGTACGTAATCCAACGTGTAATTCGTTATCTACAAATCTCGATCTATGATGAACAAATATTCCAAATTTTTGTGATTACAATTGAAATAGGGGTTTTGAACTCAAACAAAGATGCACAATATACGATCTTCTATTTTGCAAAAGATCTTAGAAATAAATGGAAAATTTTGAGACACGGCATTGCTCCATTAGTATTATCATAAAACTGTAATTTGTCAGATTTTATTTTAAGCACTATTGTTAAATGCGCCTCAAATTCAGGAAGGAAAATTTTTTATTATTAGACAGGATCCAGGCTGTTAATACTGCTTTGGCTGAAAAAATATAATTATGAAAAATGTAGTTATGACAAATACACATAATAAAGCAATATAATTTTTATTAAATCGGGTTAATTTCTCTTTTCACATGTAGTAAGCATACAATATAAAATAAACCCTTTTCCCAGCACATTTACGCAAGAGATTGCATATTAAAAAACAATCAATTGTTAATATCTAAAAAACTTGATCCACCGATAATCTCTTAATAAAATTACTATGCATCAATTTACCTAATCATGTCCAGTTTGACATTGCTCAACTCTTTAGGAGTCATGCCTTTTTTGACCTTAACCACTGTTTTTTTGTTTATTGGTCCAGTGTTAATCATAGGGATCGCTACCATGTGGTCAAAAAATTTCCAATGAACTTTCTGCACGTGTCACTAGAATCGTCAATGATTTTGATACAAAAAATAATACACTGGAAATCGAAAACATCTTCAGTAAACTTATTGCGGAAATTAGTACTAAAATCACCAATGAACTTTCCGCACGTATTTCTGAAATAAATTCTACTTTCACTGCGGAGCTCGGCAAAAATAATAATAAACTTATTGCAGAAAATCAAAAAGATCAATTTACGTGATGTTAGATATGCCTCTGAGTAGGGTTGTTAACCGGAGCATAATGTTCTGGCATCAACCTGGGTTATGTATCACTCCGTCACGGAGCGGGTTAAG